TCGTTCTCGTTCACGTGCTCCTCGTCAGTTATATTGCCATCTCCAACAGGCGGCAATTGGCATACAGACGCACCTTCGCGTTCGTCATCAGGAAGGCTGAACAAAAGGTCAATTGCTGCCTCTAAAGTGAGGAAGCGTTGTGCTATGACCCACAACGAAAGTTATTGCGGTGTAAAGCACAGTGCTACAAAAATAAAACCAGCCGCAAGGTAGTTTTCTACTTACATTCAAGGGATTGATGCAGCTAGGCACTGTAGTTCAATGCTGCTCTTTCCACGTGTCTGGCAAACTCAAAATGACGCCCAGGAAAGCTTATGTTCAAGTGTCTGCCAAGCGCCGTACAGCGGGCGCCATCGACAAGGCAAAAAAAGAAAGAGAACGAGTCAAAACGCTCGTGCGCGTCTAGGCTGCCTTCGACACTGTGAAACGCCAATGTTCCAAAAAAGGAACATCCGCACAAAACTCTCAAGCTGAAAACTAGATTGTCTTTGTTATTTTTTTATTGTATTGCCGCGTAATCCCGAACTATTTGCCGATATTTTAGTTCTGCTTTGCTCAATGCAACATTACTTTTTCCCGCGGAATAATGCAACAAACATCTGGTGGTCAAGGAGCGCAAAATATGGCTGTTTTTAAAAATTTATCTAATAATTCTCCATAGGTGCATAATAGAAATTAAAACTGATCTTACCTGGTGGCTTCACATTAATACCGTTATTAATAATGCTAATCGCCTGCTTGGCTACCTTCGCCGCAACTTCTTTTCTGCACCTACCTCTTTAAAAACACTTTTGTATAAATCATTGGTTCGTTCTAAACTCGAATATGCATCATCCATTTGGGACCCGAGCCATGACTATCTGGTAACATCACTTGAGCTCGTGCAGAACAACGCAGCACGTTTCATTCTCGGTAATTTCACTCGTGCGGTAAGTGTCACGTCCATGAAAAACTTGCTTCAATTACCCACTCTAACTTCGCGCCGCAAACACTCTCGCCTCTGTCTCTTTCACAAATTTACTACCATAATTCGCCCCTATTCAGTGAGTTAATTACTCCTCCTTCATATATTCTTCTCGTATAGATCACCGACACAAAGTAGGAACAATACCATGCAACACCAATGCCTTCTTTCAGTCATTTATTCCTCGGACGTCACAAGATTGGAACCGCCTTCCCGGACTGACCGCCGCAATCGAAGACAACCATCAGTTTCGTGCAGCTCTAGCTAACATTGTATGATTAGGGCCCATGTATGTTTGCACTTATCTGCTTACTACTTTTGTTGCTGCTTTTTAGTTTTTTGTATAACCTTGTAACCCACTCCCCTCTGAAATGCCTGTAGGCCTTGAGGGTACAAATAAATAAATAAAATAAATAAGTAAACTGGAAAGTGCGCTTTTTCATTCCTTTTTCACATATCGAACTAATTCACAATCTCTCGAAAGAGATTTCGATATATCCGTGTTCGATATATGGAGTTCGATATATCGATATATATCGATATATATCGAGATATATCAAGTTCGACTGCAAAACAAAAGAATAGCAGGTACCACTAGCAGTGCTCGACACAAAATAAAGATTTCAAGTTGCACGCAAACCTTTGCCTTCTTTTCAAAAGGTTCAACGCCCATTTTGTGCTGGACCTTTTAAACATGGAAAACAGTAGAATCTCGGTAATACAAATCTCAAGGGGCAAGTGAAAATACAGTCGATCCCAGATATATCAAACAGGGAGATTGCGAAATAGTTCTGACATATTGATAACTCTAAACACAAAATATGCATATTTAAGGCAGAAATTAGAGCAGCTCAGACCTCGAAACAGTTTCCAAAATTACAACAAACGTTTACATAAAGATTGCCTCATAGTATGATGAAAAACAAGGTGTGAACATCTTCATTTGCAAGTTACTGCACTTTTCTTGAAAATAGTCCATGAACTTGTCTCGCTTCACGTCAAGTTCCAGTCGTCCTCAATATAATTGAAGCTTTCCAAATAGGTGAATTCAGCTCACTCAGCCACAACAACATCGATTAACGCTGAACGCCAATGTAAACTACATAGTGTGTTGAAAAGTTTTTTAGTGGCGGAAGCAACAAACTTCTACAGCACTGGCAACGACAACCACAACCTCAGCATTGATGCAGTTTGAACGAGCGACTGTCATCGGCACCAACGAAACTGCTCGCTATCCTAGATGGTGCCCAGGAACGCCGACAAGTCATAGAATTCATCGAGCCGTTGTACACCCCTGTCAGCAGTCATGACGCACCTAAAGCCGTCACCTGGTACCAAAGCCCACAAGGAAACGGCATACAAAGGTGCTTTACTTGACGTCGCTCATAGCACCAGTCATAATTTTTATAGATACGAGAAGTCCCCAAGTCGCCCACCGTTGAAAATGTAGGAGATAGCGATGAGACTTGTGTGTGTCGTTTTCTAGTAGGTAGGCGCTGCTTTAGCACATAATACTACAAAAATGTGTAGCCTCCAATATCCGCGTTCTGAAAGTGAAAACATCACGAAGACACCGAAATATGTTGCGATGTTGCACATCTTGAAGGCCATGCTTTTAGGCCCCACAACATGGCAACGAATTCGCCAAAGCACTTTGTTTTGGGGCTCTCAGCAATATGTCTTTTAGAAAAACACCACGCCCAGGCGTTAAAACCTGCAGATCGCGCATACCAGTGCCCTTGTAAGCGCTGCACAACGAACTAGATAAATGAAACAGAGTTTCTCTTTCTCACTTTCACAGTCTTTTCGTCACCTGTGCATGAAAAAAAATTGAAACCAGTTTTAAAACCATAATATTCAAACAATACATTTATTTCCATTGAAAAAACTTTTTTAGTCTTTCTGGGACACACATAAATGGACCAATAAGAGACAGCACAGCTGGATTCCACAAATGCGCGCATCTAAGGTGCGATCACTTGAGGCCAAATGAAAAGCAGGGATAAAAGTTCGCTCCGTTCTAGTCATAAACAGGAACGCCGAAAGGTTTCATGTCTTTATACGACTACAGTCGAACTCCGCTACACAAACGCCGCTTCAATAAAATTTCCGCTACAACGAAAAATTCACGATTCCCCGTCAGCAGTCCATCGGAGTATATGCATAAATATTGTCACCACAACGAACACTTTTTCTTCGATCGTCCCGCTTCAACAAAATTTTACAAAGCGATTCCAGGCTCGGATACTTATTGCTATGCAGTAAACCCAATCTTTAACATTTCGATGCATTTTCAGAGCCTGAAAATGCGTCAACGAAGTCTAAAACACGCGTTGGCACCACCAGAAACCGCCGCTATATTACCGCAGTTCAGCAAGCATGAGTGCCGCCATTGCTTGACAGTGATGGCAATGAGACTGCTCTGCGTTTGTTTTGCCACTGGCTTGCTTTTGAGACGCAGACGTTCCGAAGCTGAAGCTTAGTCACTCATTTCATGGTTTCCTTCTCGCAATTGCTGGGTGTAGCCGCGGCACAATGCTGATTGGGATGCTTATCATTATGTTCACACTTGGCCAGTGTGGTAACTAATCAGAGTGGCTTATCAACATTATCAACAAAGTCAGCTAGCCAGGAGTGATGGATGATAATGGCATAGAATAATGCAAAAGTTTCTAATGCCTCCATCGCGGCGTTGTCGGATACTTGTGACAGCGGACAGCTGCTGGTATTAACGTGTTAATGCAACTGTCTTGTTCGTTCACAAAAGCGGTTTTAGGCGTTTCGGCGTGCTTTTCACCATGGCCTCGCTATGCATGGGTGAGAATCGCGTCGCGACGCTGCTGGGAAAGTATAGGAAGCAGCAGACATTTTTTGAATTTTGAGAATAAAAACGTTCTTTTGTTTTGCTAGCTCAGATCAGCGATATTTTTTTCAATTTCACTACAACGAAATTTTCACTTCTATGCAATTTTTTCCGCGCCCCGTCAGTTTTGTCGTAGCAGGGTTCGACTGTATTGTCTTCAATTATATCACTGTTGGCGGCGTACCTTTAGAGCTGCGTAGTTGCGATACCCTCCATCCCTCCTGCGGTTTCGTGCGCAGTGACTGAAGCTAACGGTTGTGCGTTGGCAATCGTGCACATGTGTGTGCTGGTTGCACACACAGGTTGTGCGCCAAGGCATGTGCACAAGCTGAGCACATGCCTTTGTTGCACTGTGCACATGCCTTCAAAGCAATGTCGCAAACCATGATCGCATATGCCATAGTTTGTCTGCACTGGTTGCGGAAAGCAGCGTCACTTTGTCTTGAGTGTTGGACGCACAGGCATCTGCTTCAGTTTCGTCGTCATCGCTAAACATAGCGTCGACAGCAACCGTGGTTTCATGTGGAGCAGTTGCTGCAAATGCAAGTATCTTCAAAAATAAATCACTGCTATTTATGATCATGTGTTCGATGGTTTTGTCCACTGCAGTTGTGGCAAGCAGTGTCGGTTTGGCTTGGTGAAGCTGGAGGCGCGCATGTATTTTTGGAGTTTCCGGAGCAGGCTGCTGCTTTTGGAAGTCACTTGATGGTTTCGGTGCCAAGTTTGTATTCCACGTCACAATGCAGAAAGGTGCTGCGAAAGCCCCAGGCGTCCCAGACTAGGGACTTCTAGAGTTTACACAGAGTCAGGCCCCCATCTTTCTCACTCGTAAATAGTGTCAATAAATGTTTTGCACCACCACCATCCAAATTTTGGCTCATAAGATACAATGATATTAAGCCAGGAAACTTTACAAATTTGTACGAGACCGAAATTCCAATCCACCGACTTTGTATCACAGATTCTTGTGTGCTCGACTGGCCTGCTAGCACACCTTCATTTCTTTTAAGATATCTCTTATAACATGGAGACGAGGTGGAACATTTAGAGGAAGAACCAGTGTACACTGTAAACACGGCCGACACGACATTCGGCTGTTAATTAAACAAAGCTGAACCCACCAGTGATCTCAAGCATGGCAGAGAGGTGCAAAAAAAGCAGGCCACAACTCACGTGGTTCCTCAGGCGCTCCTGGAGCGCTGCGATCTGAGCCTCGCGCGCCTCGTTGGCATTCTCTATCTTCTTCTGAATGCTGGCCAGCATCTCCTGTGTCTGTGCATCCAACGACTTGCGCACCTCCTCCACTCGGCTCACCTGCACAAAGAACAAACAATGGGCACACATTGGCAGTTCCTACAACTGTATACAGGAGCTACGTGGCACGAAATGGCTTTGTGCAGCACCAAGCTCACCAATGACTAGCAGACAAATCTATACTGCACGAAGAAACCGAGAACAATTCAAGGTGTACAAGGTTATGTCTGCCCAGTGAGCAGTTATAGGTGTGGATCTGTGATCAGCCAACCGTGTTAAAAAGTGCATTAATGCTGTCATTATCATCAACATACAACCAAAACAAGTACTGGAGATGTTTGAAGTAATTACACCACAAACTTGAAAAAGTTAAAGCTGAAGAAGAGACAACTTGCCACTGGCAAAGACCGAAGCTGCAACCCTCGAATAACACGTCCAGTACTCCACTAATCGAGCTAGGGTGCCGGTCGTTCTTCCGTACACCATCGGGTATATCCATGCAATTGAATCTCGAAAGCGACACTATCAGCCAAAGGAAGAGTGTTCCACATTCGCTGTCATGACTTCGAGGGACGTTGACCAACACTGCCAGGTTTTGCATGTGCCCACCAAAGTGGACAGCGAAGCACCTTCCATCGTATCTCAACTGGTAGAGTATCAGATGATAACTTGAAGATTGTGCGTTGTTATGCCTGCGAGTCCACAGCGAACGTCCATGCCTCTGAAAAAGGCAATCTGTGTCAAGGCCAGTACGCGAGCCCACCTGACGCGAACAACTCAACGGCGTCATCACGCGGTGGTGCCTTACTGCCGCACACATGCAGCGAGTCACGTCAGCCAGCGAGCCAGCGCCTTCCTGTCTGGCGAGTCTGACGCAATGCGTGGCGACGTCACTCGTCCTTGGGTGCAGCCACGTGCAGCGCAGCGGTTTCAGATTCGATGACGCGGCCCAGCGGCGACCCCATTGGAGGATTCTGACCTCACAACCAGCGGCGCTTCTGATTGGACATTTGGTTACTCAAAGAATCCACCCGGTGCATATAAAAGAAGCCCTGCGGCACGTCGCGAGCAGTTCAGCTATGTGTTAGAGAGGAGAGCTCGGCTCTTCAAGTCTCTAAGCTGTCGGCCCCAGTGCCGAATTTGTAACTCCTCTGTATATATGCTGTACATAAACCTTGTTTAACTCACCATCGTCTCGTCCGCTCGTCTATCAGCTCTGTGCAGAAGCAGTCGCAAGCTGAGAAACCTACGCTACCAAACGGCTGGTGACCGTGTCGGCCGAGATCGGAGCAGTGGCGCCTTCGGGACCGTGTTGGTCTTTCGAAACAGCGGTTGCAGCGGCGAGATTCGTGGCTCCCTTCGTAACGTCGTCGGAGGCGCGCTTCGCAACAGCGTCTAGATGCCGCCGAAGGAAAAGGCGATTTTTCGTACACTTGAGTTCATTTCATTTCAATTAGAGTCAGAACGACTACATACACCACAGTCAAAGACAATTGACGTCCCCTATGCTTTCCCTGTCATAGTTGTCTGTTGGATTGTGTCCAACGTTGAACTAGTGTCAGACTTGTTGCATTAACCACCTATCCTTACCTATAAATTAATTACCTACACTCTGAAGCAGAGACAGTTCACTTGGCCAAACAACGATCTCTCCAATGCGGAGAGGAACAGAGGCTTTGCTTCAAAAGAAAGAAATGCCCAATGCTCACATGCTCGCGCTGCTTATCCTGGATGGACTTGATGTGCGCCTCACGGTTCTCCTTGAAGGCCTCGATCTTCTTCTCGTAGTTTTGCCGAATGCTCTCCTGGAACTCTGCGGTGAGGCCTTCCTTCTTCTGGTTCACCTCAGCCAGCCGGCTCATCTTCTCGTTCAGCTGGTTCAGCTTCATCGCCTCCAAGGACTGGACAGGGGCCACAAAATTTGCAATTATGAACAAAACATATTGAAAAAAAAAAAAAAGAAAAGGCCACAGTGTTCTAGGCAGACATTTTTATGAAGTCTCTTATTACAACCTTGGCCACATATAATAAAGGCCAACGGAACTGCGAACAACACAAGTCCGTGTTTCAATGAGTACCGGTATTGAGCAGCACCTGTGTGAAATTTAACATTTTAGATGTGCAAATTAAAGCATCGTGAAATGCTCAGAAAAATGCACATGCAGGCACATGAAAAAATGAATGCCGACGAGTGCAACAAACTGTTTTTATATCTCAGTAACATACTCATACACTTGGGTGCCACTGATGTCAATTGTTTTAGGAGTTCATCTGTATGAATACTCCCGTAGCAAGAGCCATCTCTAAACCTTCTTGACATCACGAGACAACTAGAATGTTGGTAAAATTGCGCCTTTAGTGGACCCGGACTGGGATTCGCTTGTTCATGAAAAGCTTCCATCAAATAGAATTGCATTTTTCTAATATCCTACCCTATGTGTCTTTGGTAAAATTAAGATGACTAAGCTTCAACGCGTGAACTTCATGAAAAAAGAATTTGGGAGAGCTGGCATTCATGCATATGGCTGGCGCAACGTTTTTTTAGGCACCGCTGCAAGTTCGACATGCATGTACTCGACCTCGCAAGACACCTTTGCGTCACTGAGAAAGGACAAAAGGAAGGTGAAAGTTTCGAAGGCAAGAGTTTGCTAGATTGATAACCTGTGGCACTACTGTCTATGTTATAAATGCAAGTTTTTCCAGGGAATAAGCCATTGCATTGGGAGATTATGCGTCTTCCTTCAACCCACATACACTGGTGCCCCCAAAATGTACTTTATACCTTTTTCAGGGCTGCACTAACAATCTTGACAATTTTTACATTTCTACTTTTCAGAATGAAGCAAGCTGCACACTACATCCCTACTACGCTTAGCTGCCTGTGACGATGGGATAGATTTGATGCAAAAGGCGTTGCTCTGCTACAGCTGCTCTAGATGCGAGAACAAGCACCGATTCTCACCAGGCGTCTCTCCTCAGCTTCCTTGAGCTTTTTTTCGATGTCCTCGGCAGAGATGCTCTTGGGCGGACTGGTGCTGGGCTTGCGCAGCGGCGAGTCCATGCAGGGGTCGGCCAGCACCAGCTCGTACTTGAGACCACCCTTGCTCTGCTCTTTGCAGCGCACCTCCGTCGCTGTAACGCCGCAACAGCACAAAGATTGGCATGTCAAGACAATGCATCATGCATCAGAAAATGGAGGTTTCGTGCTCCATGGAAAAACACGACTTCCACTTGCCCTACTGCCAATGTTTCCATGCTCCTAAGCGTGTATTAGAAAGACTGACTTGCAATGCCACTGATAAGATGCGAACACAGGGACCACATCGCAAGATAGTGGCCTCGCACAAAATGAACAAATAGTTCATTTCATGGAGTGAAACTTTACCTTTGATTTGCTCTTTGAAACTACAGAGCCCTTTTAAACTGGCCCCCACGGAAAGGCATGGCTCCAGCGTAAGCCCAGAAAATAGACCCATCTGTGGTGTTTCCGTTACTGAACTATGAACGAATCCCCTGTTTGCAATGAGAACGAGTTTTTTCACACTACGGTCATCTAAATTTTCAATAGACCTAAAAAATGTTTCTCTATACACGAACGAGTTCTCAAAGCCTGCTAAACCACCAAGCACACAATGAATGCTGCTTTCGCAGGCAGCAAATTTCACCCAACTACATCAACTCTGAACAAGTTGCAGCAAGCTCTATGGCCTTGGAACTTGAAAACTGCCTTTTCTTCAATGGAAGCAATCTCAAAAACTGGTCAATTTCAATGTCAAGTAAAAAGGCAAGATTTAATTTCACAAGTAATTTTTTTTTTTTGAATAAGAGATAGAAGCTTGTGGTTCTCTTCAGAAATTCTCATTCACTATACATTGTAGTTATTCATTCAGAACTGCAAGTCTTCAATTGAGCTCCAGTGCACACCATGCTGTGAACACCTCTGACACCGTAATACTATACAATGAGATTCTATACACACCGACTCATACAGGGCACAAAGACCGCACTATTTGGCACTGTACAACCCAGAACTCTTGGTTACGAAAATGTGCTATAGATGCTTAGAACTTGATTTGAATAGTCAAAGCATTTTTTCTTGTGCACTAGAGCAGCTAAAAATATTATGATCATGAGAAGTGAATAACTCTTCATTCTCTTTACATAGGCTAAATCAATGTGATTTAGCCTATGCCTGGCTAAATAAAGTGGTTCTTCACAGGCGGACCTTAAAAGAACAAATGAGCAATGAACTTGAAGTTTATTTGCTTTTCATCGAAGAAAGAAGAAGCAGGAGCAGAGAGCTACAAAGGCCCCAGAAAGGGCTCCAACTAACCAGATTTCCTTCGCGGACTTTTTAAGATTTCTCAAGAAAATGTGTGAATACATACGGCCTAGACTGCTTTGCTTTGCCCCGCTGAACCATAAGGCAAGCAAGCAAGTTATCAAGTCTATGGAATGGGAATATCTAGAATAACCCCTGCTATGCTAAACTACACAAAAAATGAATACAAAAAAACACACACACAGGACTTGTAATAGGCTCTAGTAAATTTCATACTATTTTCATTTGCATTGCAAATACTGACCCCCATGCCTCCCTTGGCTTTATTATCCGTCAGATTAATTATGTTTCTAAATAAAGAGATGAGCCCTTGCTCTTTCATTTTTCAACTACGATAATGTCCCACCAACTCAAGTAAAAAAAAAAAAGCATGCCAGCACGTTCATCGCCCCTGACCAAACAACACTCCACCACTGTCACAACGTCTGCGCAGCGAGAGACGATTTCGCATAGAGGAAAAACAAGAGTAGAACGGTCCTCTCCGAGGGCCCGGAAGTGGAGGCAAGCTTCCAAAAAGGAACCCGTGGCCCAAACACTGACCCTCCGACGATCACAGATGGCAGAGTGGGGGAGGGGGATAAAAGGGGAGTAGGCGAGTGCGAGTGTCAACATCCAACCCTCCGACCATTGCGGCGGCAGTCCACCGTGTTTTTGCAGAACCCTTAGAGGGGAGGAGGAGGGTGGCACCGGTACGGTTGGGGGGGAGCGCGAGTGTCTAGGCGCCCACCGACAGGGCCTCGTCGCCACACAATCGATCCAAGTCGACGACCGCGGTCCGGTTCAGCTCCGCACCACGGCCGGCAGCCTGGTGTGACTCATCCCGGCGCCGCCGGGACGTCGCCGGCCAGACGTCGGCGCCAAGAGAGGCGGCGTCGGCGACGGTAGATGCTCGCCGGGCGGTAATAAGCCCAGCGCGCGCGCGCGATTCGCACGACTCTACAACACAGTGTGCTGCGGCGCGGTAGTTCGCTTATCTCGTTCGTCATTTCTTGCACTAAAAACAAAAATCTTGGGAAGTCGTGAGCGAGGGAAATGGGGGGTGGCGAGACGGTAGGCGGTAGTTGCACTTTGTCTTCTTAACAAAAAAATAAAAAAGGAGAAAATGTGTCTGCTGGGGGCAAGAGTGGTGGCGAGGTAAATACTGGGGTGGGGGGGGGGGGGGGTGTTGATGCGTCATGCTCTTATCGACTGCACTGCTGCCGAAGAACCATCACGGTGGCCGCACGGATGGATAGTGCATCCGAAACAGTGGCAATGCGTGTGCGCTATCGCGAGCGGCTCAAAATAACAACGAGGCGCGGTTGTGCTCCTATGCGAGAGAGCAGGCACCTCAGGGTAACCCTCCCCGATTTGTGAACGGCGAGTACCGGAACAGTCCTCGCCTGCCAGGGGCGTAGACAGAAATTCGTGCTGTTGGGGGCGGGGGATCCGCACGTTATATATTCGTGTGTTGGCATTTATGCGTGTAAAAAAAAACGTACGCATACAACGTCAAAAATATTTAGAGTGGTAGTGGTGGTTCAACCATCCAGCATACCGCCCCACTGGTTACGCCGATCGGGCCGCGTCGACAGCGTTAACAAGCTCGTTTCGCAAAAATTCCGGTGTCGGTGTCGTTTGTGTCCGTGAGCGAACAAAGATATCGCCTATAGATGACATTTGAAAGGTTGTCTTTTCCTTACCTCATATATGCGTCATACCCGAATGGAATTTGGCGTGGGTTTCGAGTAAGACGCCAATCAGCACGACTAAAATACCTTAGAACTTTTGTTCTGCGGTGATGTTTTCACACATAGCGACAAAGGAGCAGATCCAGCCACTCATCTTCGGAAGAAGAGGTGGGGCAGTCGCTTGAAGTAAAACAGGTGAGAGAGAGGGGGGAGGTCCTGGATATCATTTTCAGTAATTACTACTAACCCGCGAATCGCCACAAATACTGTTAAGTTGTGCCCACACTGGTCCCACTTATGTGTCCCAATCAACAATAGGAGGTGGACGACCGGCACAGAAGATAGGGGGTGGGGGCAGACACAGGCTCTGGGAGAGGGAGACGGTCGCATCCCCCCTCCCCATCTGGATTCGCCACTGTAGTGACCTCATCAGATGGTTCAAAAAAAAAAAAAGAGCTCGAGCCTAGTACCGTCTCTGTAGCTTTCCCAAACGAAGCGTTATTAAATAAAGCCACAACAGGCGAGAAATACCATTAAGCAGCGAAAGTCTCAAAAAGTTCATTCCATGTGAAGCCGCGGACCGTCGGAGAAAGGTTCGCCGGCCGCATTTGGCCCACTGGGATTTCGTTACTTTCGTACCTTTTTCTATACCGACTCTGCCCGAAACGGGCGGGGCGGCGGCCGAAGTGTGCACCTACGCGCAAAGGTTGCGCTTAATATAGAGCACCGCTTTTTTTCGGCAAACCGAGTGCCCGGTATGGAAAGTCCACTGCCGCGGCGTAGTTCGATGAAGCCAGAAATAAAAACGCCGCGATATCGCACCACAGCGCAGAAGCGTAACTTCGACGCAGGATACGCCGTATCTTGATAAAAAAAAAAAACCAACTCCCTCGAGTTTTCTCACGCAAGTAATCGATGAGGCGTCGCGGTTCCGCAGGATCCGAGAGCGATGCTGTTTCAGCGGTAAAATTAGAACAAGGGGAATAAAGGATTAGCGAAGGGTTGAAATAATTCAGCGGCTGCACTCCAATGTGGCCTTCCTTTTTGGCGCTTCGTTATTTTAATTATTGTAACGACGACAATAATATCAAATTTTTCACGAAATTGAAAAACCACAAGGCTTTTACTTAAGATCCTGCCGCCCGGTTCTTGGCCGATCCCCCTTAGCGGGAGTGCGCCAGAGTATCAAGGATCATCATCATCATCATTACACGAGAAAACTAAAAGATGATTACGAGAGACGCCGTATAGTCCTGGAGGACTTCGGAAAATTTCGACCACCTGGATTTTTTTTTTTTTTTTAACCGTGCAACGGACATCGCCCAGTAACCCGAGCCTCCGGCGTTTCACCTCCCATCAAAAATACGATCGCCGCGTCCCGTCCCGGGCCCGCAACTTTCAGGGTCAGCAAGCAAGCCGAGCACCGTTAAGCGCTTCACCACCGTTTCGGACTGCGACAGGTGCCCACGTTTGATCAGCGGTACGGGATGGTGGCGCTCCAGACCCTCGTATTTGACGCAAGCCCGTCGCGTCACTGGGGGCGGTGTGGACACGCGAGCAGTCGACACGAAGACTCGAACGAAAGAATTTGCAGTGCCGAGCGCCGCCTGGCGGCCCGAAGGAGAGCGAATTTCGAGCACTCTGGGGAAAACAAAAGAAAACTTTTTTAAAGGAGCACGTGTTAACTCTCTTGCGGGTCACGCTACTCTCAGAAGAGAAGTACGATCTCCAAAAAAGTGGAGTTCACCTTCCTGCTGCCTCTTAAGTCTTAAGATTGTTCGAGGTATAGCGCATCCAGGACGGGACAGAGAAGAAAACACACAGAACACATACACGGCGTTGTGTTTTCTTCTCTGTCCCGTCCTGGATGCGCTACACCTCGAACAACATTAATAACCGACAAGCCCGCCGTGCAATCCTAGTCTTAAGAAGAGTCGAATATGAGGCAAGCCAGAACTGTTAAATATACATCGTTTTTCTTTTGTTAAGCTTGGCAGCGACAATGTTCTAGTCGTTGCATTGCTATACTAGAGTCAGGCGTTTTGCACAGTAAACACGAGAACACTCGAGATGACTAACCAAGTACGAAGAAAGGAAGCGTAAATACCCCACGAACGATTTCGTCGACAACGACGCCTTTTTTTTTCGTTTTGTCGAACGCAAAATAAGCAAAGAAATAAAATAACCAAGCACGCACCGACAAGATAGGTGGTTCGCGGAACAACCAAGAAAGATTCGAAAGAGAAACAAGGGAAAAAAAAAACTTAAAGAAGAAGGTCTCATCACCCGATGCACGCGCCGTTTCGTACGATTCCCCCCTCTCCATCCACACCGAGCGCGTGAGTCACGCGATACAGCCCGACGCATCCTCCTCTCCCGCAATGAGCTCAGACGATGATGACCAAGCGGCCGCATTCGGGAATAAAATGAAAAACACGCTGCAACTGCGATGTCAATGGCGCTCGCATCACGAGTAAAATGACAACACGCCTGCTGCCGACGCTGTCCCACATAGCAACACCCTATAACGCGTGCACTCACCCCCCATATGCTGCCCGCGTGGCTGCAGAAGAAATGCACGGAAACAACAACAACAACAACAAAAAAAAAGAACCGTGCATCAACCAACACCCCTTGAAGGTTTGCACGCCCACAGGACACCGCAGTACGACGTTAGCGAAAGGTTGGCTGCTTGGTTGGTTTTACGGCGTTAACGTTCCACGGCGCCTAGCGCTGTGAGAGGCGCCGCAGTCCATGGAGTGCTCTGGATAATTTAGCCACCTGGCGGCGTTCTCTAAGCGTGCTGCGACATCGCACAGTACAGGAGACTACTATTTCACCTTTGTCAAAATGAAAACGCCACCGTCGGGGTCGAACCCCGCGACTTCAGGCTCACGATAGGGCAACACTTTTAAGGGTCAGTTTACATTCAATGAAGCCACAGCACCGACAACACTGAGATTAACGAAGAGGACAGGACGTGCGCTACAACCAATTTTTTACGTCCGAAATGTTGAACTCGTAACAAGGACAGCGAAAGCTATTACAACGTAGCACGTCCTGCATTTCGTGCCTCCATTTTCAACGCTATATTTTCATTGAATGTATGAATGTATTGAACGAACTGGTTCATATGTCCATACACTCGGAGACCAGTTTACGCTCAAGTCGCAGGGTCACCCCGCACAGGGCAGATGGCCTACGCGGCGGACAAATGGCCTCCACGATCATTGAGCTACGCAACTACGTAATAAAGGCGCACAATAACGGCAGGGCAGCATTAACCACAAGAAACACTATGACAGGTCATGCGCCGTCTTCATTCTCGTTTCTTGTGTACCTGTGTACCACTGCCCTACCACAAATAAGAACCCAAACCGATTTGTCCACCTAACGAGGGGCCGTAGCTAGAATTTTTTTCTTCCGGGGAAGGGGGAGGGTTCGACCACCTTTTACGTATGTTTGCACGCGCGTTCGCGTGTGTAGGTGTAGGTTACGCATGCACAACTGCAAATTTCCAGAGTTAGTTTAAATCCCCCCCCCCCTCTTCCTGGCTACGCCGACGCATTCATCCGTCATCCTGTAGTAAGGATATCCGGCAAAAATTTACTAGAGCAGGCAATAGCGCACGGCAGTGCAAGAAATGGTCACACTCAGCCACTGTCAACGCCACTACATTGACCACGATGTTGCAATACCGCCATAGCGTCGTGGCGGCTTTGCGAAACAGTTAGCGCCCGACTATGTCGAATTCCGGAGAAGACAACGCACGAATGTATTCTCTCGCGCTGTTTCTCACTGATGCAGCATGGCAATGCACTTCATAACACTGCGCGCTCTGTCCGTGTTCAGTAAGACTAGATTGACTTTAATCGAGGATGCCGCATCGTCCACAATACACAGTTTTGTTTCCGAATCATGGGACGTTGCACGAATGATGTCGCAATTTTCAATTTCAAGGTCGCTAAGTCAAAATGGCAGGGCCAGGAAATACCGAATGCATTCGTACAGCAATTTTCACGCGCATGTTAGATGGTGCAGTACCGTGCATCTACACAGATACAAAGCTGAAGGGACACTCGAGAGGTACAATGACTTGGTTTAGATTGACAAACCGCAGTCTGAGCACTCAATGGCATAGGCTTCACTGTCACAAGTTCCCTATCAGCGGGGGAAAATTAAGGCGGAAGTTCTATTTTTGAATTTCGCGCCAGTATTCTGCGTGCGTGACGTCAAAATTTTCAAAATGTATTCTCGATATTTTCGAGACATGGACTCGATCAAAGTTTTCTGAAACATCGTACGCTAGGTCTATGGCACCAACAGAGGACAATGCACTCAATTTTTATCAATTGGAAGCTACGTAGGACCCGGTAGACGCCTTCGAAATATATGACGTCACAGTGATCGGTGCGGGATCTTTAAGGTGGGGTCTCCACCTGTATTTTATTTTCGCGCGTTTTATCGCTTACCAAGCATCGTGTAGAGGAAGTAAGAGTGGCGTCTTCGGGGTTGGAAATTTGTACTCTACTGGTACGCGAAAAAGCATTTTGCTCTTGAGTGCCCCTCTAAAGAAACACTAAATCGAAACAGCGAATCAGTTTAGACCAAAAAAATAGTACTCCGAAAGCTCGTATGTGATTAATTTCACCATCGCAGGCCTATTAACAGAAGAGAAAACTAAGGGCAAAGTCCCCCTTAAATTTCGCGCCGGAATCTTCGCACCTGACGTCACGGGTTTCAAAGTGTACAATTACCTGTTTGGGCCACTTTGGCTTAACCAAATTTTCGAAAACTTTGTACGTTAAGAAACACACTGGCCCTCTCAAACGGCTATCTACATCGTTTTTACCCATTAGGAACTACGCAGCTTCTAGCAGATGCCATCAAGATGCGGCAGCTTCTAAGTGGCATCGCCAGCAGCGTTTTGCTTCCTTGCGCGCTTCCTCGCTCACCGAGTATCTTCTCACGGAAAAAGCGTGGTGTCCTTGATATTGTGAAAGAGTATAGTTGCCTAATACAGGAAAAATCGGTGCTCTCCTCGGTGTCCATATAAGACGTATTCCGTAAGGTTGTCCATACTCACCCATGAGCATGCCAGTCCGTCGAGGAGGCCGCGTCCTCACAAGAGGCTTCAGAATCATCGGCTGACTCTTGTTGCGGTCTTAGCCAGCAGCAAAGAGGAGGAAGAAGAGAGACAGAGAGAGGGGGCACAGCAGACACCGACGCTCAATCAAAAGTTCGTAATTATCGAAGCACACGAAGTTTCTTGCTCAGTGAGTTAAGCGAAACGATACACCCGCGATGGTCAATGCGGGCGACACACACACACCCTGAGCGAGAAACTATCGATTTCAAGAAAGTACGCATGCACCGTTGTGCATGTTCGTGCTCGACGACTGCTTAGCGAAAAAAAAAAAAACTTAGCTAACAAGGAACGAAATGAATGCGACACACTCGCATTAGTTTCGTTAGTAAACTGCGCTAGGGAGAAACTCAAATTACGCACTGGCACATATTCATTGCAAGCACATTAACTTGTTGAATAGCATGTTAGGATATATTACTCGAGAACATCTGAAGACGCTTACACAACATAAGACAATCAGCAAACATGGCAAACGAAAATGGTGGCGAAGGAAAGAGGGGGGGGGGTCGTGCAAGCTCAAGGTCATCATGCAACGAACGGCAGGGCAGGGGACGCCTTTGATGGGACACACGCGCGAAAAAAAGTCGGGCAAAAAGAACGAAAAAAAAAAGAAAACAGCTCCGCGAGTGGCTCGAAGTAACGACAAAACAGCGTGCACGGTAGTCGGGGGCAGCCAGCTTGTGTGTAGAGGGGGGGGGGAGGGAAGGAGGGGGAATCAATAAATTCGATTGTCCCAAAGGCCCCACAGCCCCTCCATTGTCTCGCCGGAGAAGCGTAACAATATGGAGGAAAGAGAGAGGGGAGAGGAATACGACTACGCGCACGCCGCAGCCTACCTGTACCTGTGTAAAAGCAGCGGCAAGAAGGGCAGCTCCAGTTCCCGACATCAGAAAAAACCAAGTTCGATCCATAACGCCGATACGAAGGTGCCCTTCCCTACACCTACACGACGCACGTTTCGCATAACAGCTACAGGGTAGAAAGAAAGCGAGTCCGTGAATTTATTAACGCAACCGACGAGTACGCGAGGTTCAAGGTGACGCTTCAATAAGGCCATTCCCGAACGGGACTTTTTCCCTTGAAAAAAAAAAAAAACTCTAGTGAGCATGAATGTAACTGCAACCTATGTTCAATACTTCTACGGTCTAGGTTAAACAGCTAGTGCAGTCTGTAGACCTAAATGACTCCGCGGAAATGTTGAGTTTTACAAGTCCCGCCGGCGCCTCGTCTACACGAGGCGCTGGTCCAGTAAAAACGCAACACTGAAACAACCTAACCAAAATTACAACGGCTGACAAGGGTGCATGCTGGTGCATGATTCGAAGTGCTGAACTGCGCAAACAAAGCCGGCACTAAAGAGAGACGACGACGATGACACACACAGCGCGAAATGCATAGTCTCTTGCTTTTTAGTCACTGCCCTGTTGGCGCAATGAAACATTTTGGATATAACCAACATGTTCTCAGTTGGCATCAGCGTTTCGACGGACGAAAACTGAAATAAAACTGAAGGAAAGTGGCGCCACGAAGCCAAAAAGCCGAAGCATTTGCATTGATCCTTAGACTCGACCTCACTTTAAAGCATGCTAATTAGCGTGTTCGCATAGGTGTGCGCAGGGTGGAAAATTTTCCGGCGGTGGTATCGATGGCGCGGGAACCGTACCCGCGCCCTCGAGCTCAGCAGGTCGACGTATTAGGTGCTTTATGCTACACGTACACTGCCCGAGGGAACCCCGAGGGGAAGGCACAGTTGGGAGTCGGCGCATAATAGAATTACCGAATTTTGAGGAATATTATACGCTCGGCTGACACGCGACAGGGGTAATTGGATATCACTCGGATTGATGCCTGCGTGCTGCGGTGGACATAAATGATTAGGATGGCAAAGCACAAAAAGAACTTGTAAAAAAAAAAGAAAGTGTCCGGCGTTAAAAAATGAACGTGTAAGCCGTGCTTCGATCCGAATCAATATGGCCTTTCCGATGGATGCACCAACTGCCATATTGCATGCAAACGTCGGTTCCCGCGAGACTTGGGACGAAAGAAAAGAAAATAACAATCGTCATGCAGTTTCACGTCCCAAAGCCACGACGCGATTAAGAAGGGCGCCGCAGTGGAGAGGGCTGCGCGAAATTTCGACCACCTGGCGTTCGTTAACGCGCACCTACATCAAAGTACACGGGCCTGTGGAATTTCATTTCCACCCAAATGCAGCCGGGATTCGATCCAAGAGATCTTGGGGCGAGCAGTCAAACAACACGACTAACTAGACCATAACGACAGGTAAAGAAATGCACAAGAGAGCCCGAAACGAAACGAACAAAACGCGACGGCACAATTTTCGTTAAAACGTCCCACGTCGGACACTGCGCGTAGGTGATGGCTAAGCTAGACGCGAATTTCGGACACGGACCTTTCGCAGACGGCGTTTCTTTTCTTTTTTTCTCTCTTTTTCTGGAAGTCGTTGCAAGACATCTAGGAAGTCGGGGTGGCTGGAAAAACCGGCCAGAAAGGGGCGTTACAAAGCGAGACACTTTATGCGTGGGAGACCAAGGGTTCAGTGAATAGGACAGAGGAAAGGGTGGGGGCGGGGGGGGGGTTGTCGGAAGCTGTAACATAAATGCAACACTTGGCCATTACAGAATCATAAGGGGTCGGACAAAGCGAAAGAGTAAAAAAAAAAGGACTAAGACAAAGAGGGAAGAAAAAAGAGAAAATAAGAAAGAAGTATAACGAGGTCATTCACATCGAAGAAAAAAACAGCAGTGCTTAGCCCCTCCCCCGCCAAGATCTACCACTACTTCCACGGCACTATGTAACGACTGCTTCGTGTGCAGCCGTTGGAAGTCGTCGAATGCTCTCGCACGCCGGGCGGTAGAAAACGACAGCGTGCATTTGTCCCAAGGTTCCTGCGCTACCGAAGTCTGGGAGACTAAGGCGCGCATCACGCGCCGCCTATTCGCGAGTTACTGCAGCAGCAGCAAACGATACGCGAGAGAGAGATCAAAGTTGCGAACTCCGGAACGAAGCTTCGAGTTTTAAAAACAAAAACAGCCCTAAAACGGGTAATAATTGTCGGGGTAGGTCTAACGCCCCCAAAACCACGGCCTAAGACAGACAAGGACGGGGGAAAGAGGGCCGATCACGGCACGAACGCCGACACAAAAACTGAACGATTATAATAATGATAGCCGTTTTTTTTTATCGAGCCAAAATCGCGACGTTGATACTGAGACACGGTGTAGCGGGTGGGGGGGGGGGGGATCCAAAATAATTTCGTCAATTTCTTGAACACACTCCGACACCACGTAGCTAGGCGGACCTCCATCGATTCGCCTAATGTACACGGAAACGTGACCGCTGCAGCAGACGGTATAGAACCCGAGACCTTACGAGTTAGCAGACGGGCATTGTAATCACTGTACCGCGGGGGCAGATCAGGAAGGTTCATTTCAAAAAAGCGCTTACGACACTCGGCTGCTGACCCCGAAGGTCGGGGGTTCGACCCTATACGCCGCGGCGGTCACGTTTAGACGGAGGCGAAACGCCAGAGTGGTCAGCGCAGGTTAAACACCCGACGGTCGCGAAAAATGTCCGCAGCCCGCCACTGCGGCGTCCCTCGTGGTTTTGGGGGCATTTATCCCCTAGATATTACTAACAGTGATGTTTGGAAAGCTCGCTATATTTACGCGCATTTCGAAGTTGACGACCACAAACCAGTGTATAAGGAACGTGTCTTAATCCGAAGCAATGCAATTAGTGCCTGACGTCATCAAAACGAGGAAATTCGATTGAGTGTGTCACCTATACTGATTGATTGATTTGTGGGGTTTAACGTCCCAAAACCACTATTTGATTATGAGAGACGCCGTAGTGGAGGGCTCCGGAAATTTTGACCACCTGGGGTTCTTTAACGTGCACCCAAATCTGAGCACACAGGCCTACGACATTTCCGCCTCCATCGGAAATGCAGCCGCCGCCGCCGGGAGTTGATCCCGCGACCTGCGGGTCAGCAGTCGAGTACCTTAGCCACTAGACCTCCGCGGCGGGGCTGTCACCTATACTGTACACATTATCTGGCCGCAATGATAGTGAGGCTTGTAACTATTCTTAAGTTTGTAATGGACTATACACATACAGAGCAATTATTTTTCTATGTGTCTGGTGCCCCTTGGTGCAAAAATAAAAGAGGCGTCTAGAATAAGAATGAATTGAACTGAGATTATTGACAACAAGGTTGCCACGATGGCTGGGACTTCGCAAAAATAGTTCGTTACATGCGCAAATTCATTGTAAAAAGGTCGCACACCTATACGACGCTCAGAACTGTACATGACCGGCACGTGAGTGATATAAGTTACACGCAGGCCGTTTAGTTTCGCTCTAGACGCTTGATCGATACCAAAGTGTTCAATCAAAACAATGCCCACTAAACAAATAAACGCCTAAGGGAGGCGAAGTCGCTAAGCTGCGATAACGACGCAGAGATTATGGAAGAGGCCGTGGGGCACTTCATTTTTTACAAAAACAAAAGAAAGGCAAAGCAGTTGGCATTCGATTGGGCAGATAAGGAAGTGTGGGGAGAAACGCTGACCGCGAGTCTGAAAATGGTCACGGGGCAGACATACACGATACACAGGTATACCAGAGGCGCTTGTTTACCTGACCTGCGTGCATGGTTCGCAGGCCAAGTTCGCCAGACCAACCAATAACAAAAAAAGTAAAAAAAAAACGAACGCGTCGGTGTTGCAGGTGGCTCTCTGTCAACAAAGGGTAACCCTCGCCTCTTCCGTTCTCGTCCTCGTTTTTTTGTCACGCTAACATTCGTTCCAGGTATAGTAACCCTCCACCTGACAACGCGCCACGAATCTAACAACAAGGGAGTATAGTGCTGGGCACACGCACTACAGCGCGGTTCATTATTAAAGGGAAGGGCAGCGTTTTGTCGCCTTTCCAGGCACTTTTGCGACGAGTGACGTCAGCGGCACTGCACAGGTGTGCAGAAAGGGTCTACAACTAGCTAAAGACAGAAAGGAGTCCCCATCCAGGTACTCAGTACAGATGGCGAACCAGCGAAAGAAGCGTGCTGCCTCGGTGTTAGCAATAATAACTCGACTTAGAAACTTTCACCACTAAGCTTATTATCAATTAAACAGATCAAGGCTGAAGTTTCATGAAAAAGTATGCGTAGCTCGCGACATTGGCTCGATGAAAATTTTCGAAACTTCGTACGATAGGTCTATGGCACTCACGCATTGCAACGTACTTCCTTTTTATCCATTAGAAGCTAAATAGTATCTAGAAGATGCCTTCTAAATCTAAGCCCTGTCGAGGTAAGAGTGGCGTTTTCGGGACTGCGAAATAGTTTTTCCCTGCAGTGTTCCTTTATTAACTGGTTTAATCCCGACAGTTCACTGAAGTTTTCTTCAGTTATCGGTGACGTTTTGCCCAGAAATTCCCATTGGCGTTTGCTACCCGCGTGTGTTCCTTCACATTTAGGGCACCAGTGGTTAGTATTGGGATGTGGCAAGCTTTTGTGGAACATGCGCCGTGCTACGAGATTTCGCGTACATGGGACGGAAAAATTTTTGTTTTTTGCTATCGTCATATACATGCCCACTGTAAATAATAATGGCCACAATTATCTACTCTCCTGCGTTTCCTTTTACCGTTACGCGTTCAGTACACCGTTGCTACACCACAACAATGTATTTCAGCAGTGGGCAGTACTGTACAGGGCCATTAAAATCGCACTAACGTGTTCTCGTTAATAGTACATTGCACTGTACAGTTCCCAACAGAACGCAATGAGCAATTAATTGACTACAATAACTGAGACCGAAACAGTACAGGCAACTGATAACGCGGTGCACGGTATTACCGACGACTCGAAGGGGTTTTAGAACTGCCCAACTTCCCATACGGAAAGCTGACCCCGCCAAACCTGTTTGTAGGAAAGAACGGCTTTTGCACTCGGAATAAGACCGCACAAAATATACCCGGTGCTTTTTTTTTTTTTTTTGGTACAACCCAATTCGATTCGTAGTTGGCCGCCACTGCACTAAAATAGACAACTCTCTCGAGCGCCTAACAAAAGTAAGACAACTGCCCCGTATTAGAGAGACACCTATGCTACATAATGAATCGGCCAGCGCGAATTAAAAAAAAAGGGCCCAAAAGACGAGGCGAGGAGGCAAAGCGCCCCAGAAAACACCGCCGAGAAAGTGCCACGCCCAGACGATGCCAAACCCCCACATTTGCTCTTGCTTCCTTCCAGACGGAGTGGTGGGCGATCCCGGCATGCGCTCCTCTTGCCTTTTAAGGAAGCGAGACGGCTAAGAAGACGGGCGACGAAGCGAGAGAAAACAAAGCGCATGCGAAGCTTTCTCCAGCGGAGAGAAAGATGGAAGAAGGGTGGTGGGGGGGGGGGGGGGGGGGTTGCTAGAAACACAAAGAAACGTGCCTAGCGTAGCAAGACACAAAGCAGACGCATGCCTTACATTCAAGGGCACTCGATAGTACAGATCCCGTTCTACAGTGCGATACTCGTGTAAATGTAACGAAGTAAATAGGATGAAGAAGAAGCCCTGTGGTGGTATGACTCACCGAGGGTGGGTGCGCTCCTGCACGTGTTGCAAAAGCAGCGCAGCAGAGCCTCCTTGACCAACTCGCTCACGATAGTGGTGGGAGAGCCGAAGATCACCATCGCGAAGCTCTGTTCGAGATCGTGGCGAGGTTTTTTTGTTAGGAGGGTTTCCAAACGCACCGACCGCAGCAGACGCGCGTCTACACGCAGGTCTACACGTCGTCCTCGTCAAACGAACGAGCTTCGAAGTCGCCTAAATCGGTGCAATGAAGAAGACGCCGTCGCCGTCGTCTCCTAAACCGTGTAGCGATAAACCAGTAAGCACGTATCCCGCTTCTCAACTGACCGTTAGGGACACTGCGAAAAGTGTCGTGCCGCGTACGGAGGAGTCCCTAAATTATCAACTCGTCAACTGATGGCTCGCCAGAAAGAAGGCGCCGGACTGTAGCGGTATAGGCCGAACTCTGCGATCTGGAAATGACTCACCGATGCAGTTTGGGTTAGCCGCGACCAAGTAGAAGAGCGTACAGTGCAAAACGCTGCGCGGACGGAGTCTGCTCTCTAGAATCTTATTTGTCAACTAAAAGGTCTCGCGCGAATTAGAGTTAGCTCGAAGCTAGCCGTGAAAATCGCGAACTCCCGAAAAGGATGCGTTGCGAAATGGAAACACCTAGGCGGCTGGCGACCGGAGTTTAAAAACGGTCCCCCCTTTCGACGAGCTTCGAAACCGCGCCCTTGACCAAGACCCGTCCGTGCCGTGCCTCGCGCGCTGGCAATCTCCGAAATCGACACCGACCAACTCCGCGCAGACGCTGCTGCTGCTTCCCCTTGGGATTCGGGCACGACGCTGGCTTCGCGGAGGGGAAAGAAGGGAGATCGGAGGGTCAGTCGGGATTGGGGAATCACGGACGCCAGCAGCGTCAGCGCAACGCCTGGCGGTAGGGAGCGGCGTTAGTTGCAAGGTGCTGCCACCTGCAACAACCACCGCGCCATCTTCGAAAAATACGATATCCGTCAGAAGAAACCGGTTGTTGCTTTCGTGCTGAAATCGAGGGCTTCGACAGAGACCCGTCTGTCTGGTCGGGAAGTCAAGTAACGTAAAATGTGAAAAAAAAAGGTATACCGGTAACGAAAGAACGGAAAAAACGTTTCGGCTCCCCTAACGGGAAGCTTTGTTTACAGTGAAGTCGAGGATCTCAATTCCTCAATTCAAATGTGAACAATACTCCCGTAAAGGCTTGTAAGACGTCTTCGTATTATATTCCAAAACGTCACTGAATCATGATTTAAGGCTATACAATGTCCCTCTCATTACAGCAGATAGCCGACCGCAGTGCATCGGGTTGAATAACCACAAGTGTTGCTGTCAGGACAGATGATACTGCACTTGTTCAACATGGGGCAACTCTTGCAAATAGTCAATAACGAGTCAATGAGGAGGCGCTGCGGGCATTGCGGGCCCCATGCGAGTTTTAGACCAACGTATGCCCCCTCTTATGGAACAATCTAGGGACTTTACTGCACCGCGAAATTCAAATGCACGGAAACTACACACAGCCTCGACACCAGCACTTCGCGGGCCGCGATCACCGCACGCTATTTCGAATTTTCTGCGGGCGGGCCGAGAGCGCTAACAGCAGCTCGCGTTACGACGCATGCGCAGTGGCCGCACCGCAAGATATCGCGGTGCGCTATTGTAAAACCTCCCAATAATTGATGGGGTTTTGTGTCCCTAAATCTGAATATTGTTACGAGGCATGGTGAAGGAGCCCGCCGCGGGAGGCGATGAGGCTGATGTGCGGCGCGAGATTCTGGCGGCAATTCAAAGGCACAATTGCTTGCTTGTAAATGCGGTAAATATACTAGCTACCGTCTCCGTTGGGTATTCGAGATTGCCACGACAGTTTGATGGAGGAGCACAGAAATCCAAGCACACTGGCCTCGAAAACTTACGCCTCCATCAAAAACACTGCCGCCTCGGCCGAGATTCGATCCCGCGGCCTTGATATGTGGAACAGGAAAACTTGCGGTACGGTTGATTAGGTTTACCTGAAGCTGAAAAGTCAATGTGACTGTGATAAAAAAAACCGGTTTCGAATAACAAAAAACACGTAATTTGCGGTTTGACAACAGACACTGATTTACTAGTGCATCCTGAATTAAATATATTGAATAGAAGAAGTACTCCATCAAAAAAAAAAGAAAACGCACGACATATTTTGGTGCAGTTGTACCAAAAAAAAAAAAAAAAGGTACGCGCTGGAATTGGGAGTACACACGGTTACTAAGTTAACGGCCTCTAACAAATTATCTCGACTCCAGCAGTCAAGAAAAATAGGAACAGACGTTTACGAAATATACTTCGTAAGCACAACGCATCCACCAACACAAACAAGAACCCACGCAAGCAAACCCTCCGGGGGTTCGCGCACGCGAGTACCTGCGGCGGGACGGGTGGTTCTAGCACCTTCGTTATCCCCAATGGTTTCATTCACCCCGCGACTGGAGCGAAAGGGTGAAGAGGAATGGGAGAGAGGGTGTTACCGTTAGCCGCTAAAGCGACGAGCGGACAACAACAAACGTGGACGGCCGAGGCGCCATTTGTGGGAAGGTTGAAAAAAAAAAAAAGGCGATGGCGGCGCCATCACTCCAGCCGGACAGCGGTTATAGCCGCGAGGGGCGGAGTTAATTAACCTAACGAGTGGAGCAAAGAGAGAGAGGCCACTCCGCAGGCCAGGCGCGTCCATCTGGATGTCGTAACCGCTACACGGAATCGACGTCCATACACGCCTACCCTTCTCCACCCCCTTGCCCCATCAACTCGGCCAACGGATGTACGTCCAATCGCGGGCAGCCGCATCGACGCGCGCTCTCTCTCGGGTAGTTTTTTTTTTTTTTTTGCAATATTAACTACAGCGGCAGAATCGAGGTCCACGATGGGTATACATGCATAGACTTACGAAAGGCACACAACAAAAAAAAACAAAATGAAAAACCATTTCTAAACGCCCGATATGTGCGCGAAATAAGATTGTGAGAACCTTAGAGTAAAGGTCGCGACCGCAAATCTAACAGAACTGTCGGGGGCTTAACGTTTCGAAATCACGTGACTATCGGTTCGTTGGTATGTGGGGTTTAACGTCCCAAAACCACCATTTGATTATGAGAGACGCCGTAGTGGAGGGCTCCGGAAATTTCGACCTCCTGGGGTTCTTTAACGTGCACTCAAATCTGAGCACACGGGCCTACAACATTTCCGCCTCCATCGGAAATGCAGCCGCCGCAGCCGGGATTCGATCCCGCGACCTGCGGGTCAGCAGCCGAGTAGCTCAGCCACTAGACCACCGCTGCGGGGCACATGACTATCGAGGTTTATCGTCCCAACACTACATGAATATCTGAAAAGCAGTTAGCGAAATGAGCTAAAACGTAAGCCATGGTGCTAGGTATACCATATCAATGACCTTTTTATCCATTTTTCTTTTCTTCCTGGAACGAGGGGGTGGGGGTAGGTCTTCAAGCAGCCTTTATATATGTGCGTGAGCGGGTTTGTAAATGCGTGCGTGTGTATATAGACACACATGCCGATTTCAGTGGGGAGGGTAAGTGTCCCTGTATAAGCTACCGCTTCCGTAGGGAGCATATACAGTAACTGTAACGGAGCCTAAAACATTACCCCCTACCGGCACTCCCCTCCTGGCTGTGCCAGTGCATCAAGGACTTCATATGTGGATTAAAAATGCAACCGACGACAAATGATACTATGCTAAACAGCGCGACAAACGAGGACACTAAAAAATACCAACGAAAGAGCACTGAAGTTTCTGTGCGTTTCTGTATCCTCGTTTTTCACACTGTTTAGCATAGATGAAGCAACAAGCTCGAACACATGCACATTTAAAGACAAATAATACATAGACATTCATTTTTGAAGGTCACGTGGTAAGTGTCGTAATGACGCCAAATAATCGCGGCACAAAACACCGCAGGCTACTTTTCTTTTCCGTCATTCCTCCCCCCCCCCCCACCCTTTCCAAGTGTTGACGAAATCAGTTCACCGCACGCACTTAGCAAATACAAAGTAGTACAACGATAAGCTGTCACTGTCATCTTGTTTGGCGTGCATACAATGGTGTAACCCAAAATCTGGATAACGACAGGCTGAAGCTACGATCACCTTTTGTTTGTCATGCCAAATTGCATCACTGGCACATGCTATGGCAGACAGAATAGTGAACAAAAACAGGTACTCTTACTTTTTTTTTTTGCAATTGTTACCACAGACTACTGCGTTCGTGTGGTTAGCGCTCAAGTTGAACACCGCACCCCATTTTAGTCACTGTCTGCCAGCGAACTACGTTTATAATGCACTAATCAGATTTATAAGAATTAGAAAGCTTATGTTCACAGTTTTCCAACGAGAGCTGGTATTTGCCAGTCTGAAGCGTTATTTCATGGCAATGAAAACCGCGCGAGTCAAAAACAGCAATTTTTGCCATGCAAGCCTCCATTGTACTGGCGGTGAATCAGAACGGTTCAACATAACGAAACGAAATTTGTCAAGGCTTTTAATGAAGGGATGCAAGGTTTCTACCAAGCGTTTCCCTGCATGGTAACTTGTCTATTAATGAAGACAAAGTGTAACCACACGAAGAAACAGACCAATGCAGCAAAATAATAAATAAATAAATAGCATGAAATAACAACGCCCTTCATTCAAAAGGGACGTCAAAGTGCGAAAAAGCAATTTTTTTTTCTGGCTGCAATAACTTGCAAGCTTACTGCAGGTTCGGCACTCATTGTAAATCAATCCTTGCACTTTGATGAAAATTAAGGTTCCCCCTGTTTTGCTCAGCATCACTTGTCCCTTGTGCTCAACGGAAGCTAAAGAATTGAGGTTTCCCATTTTTCCCCGATTCTTAGTGCACAGATGAAAAAAAAATTGAAGCCCAAGTGTCTAACACTGCACAGCCTGTTTTCTTTTCCTTTTCCTTTTTTTTTTTCACAGGCTGAATGTTTCACGTAAGCAGTCCCCAGCTGTGCAAGAAGCAGCAAGCGTGCTTTCGTAGCGTTTATTACCCCTGTCGCACATGGCAACTTCAGTGTACTTTGGGTGAGTACACTTTGCTGCGAGTGTCATTTGCAGGCTGTCACAGGTGAAAGTTTAGTGTCCCTCGCTGCAAAGAACACTTGCCAGAAAGTGTGTTGTTCTCCAACCCCACTTCGCTGTGACAAAGTGTGTACCCTCAGTACCAGTGG